GCACATATAAGAATATAATGTAAGTGGTCCATCTTGTTTTTAAGATGCCCTGAAAATATTGGTTTGTCAATTTATTAAACCAACATAATTGTGTTGTTTATGTCTCTAGACTATTTGCTAAGCACTGAGCACCCAGATGAAAAGCAGACGTAATCCATGTTCTTATAGTGTTTAGATCTATCAGGGGAGCCAGACACTGAATAAGTCTTTACTAATGTGATGACACTGACAAAGAGGAAGTGCAGAGTGCAGTGGAGACATCACCTGGTGTGGGGAGGCAGGGAAGACTTCCGGAGGAAGTGAATTTCAAGATGTAATCCTATATCCACCACTCTTTCACTCACCAGTCAATAGCTAAGTAGGATTTTTATTTAAGACTGCATTCATGAATAGAATATTAAACAGAAAGAATTTTTATGACCTTTAAAATTTTCATATGCAGAGAATTGAACAAGACAATTACACACACCAGAAGACTTTTACACACTTGTTCGAAAATTGTGTTAAATTCTTTATTTCAAGTGATTAGTCTACATTGATTTCAAGATTTTTAAAGAATTTGAGTCTAGAAATATTTTTTGAATAGTTAGAAAAATATCTTAGGAACTTGTCAATCATTTAGTAGATACTCAATAAACATAAAATTTATTTTATTTTCCTTCTATTTCTTCCTCCGTGATATCTTTCCTTCAACCCCATTTATCCAAGTATTCAGAAGGAGCTTTGTTAGTTTAGTGAATAGAAAAGCTTGATTTAGTTATTTTCCAAATTGCTAAAAAAATTCCTAAACATAATGTAGATGGAAACCTTAAGTGTCTAGTAAAACATTTTGATTCACAATCCGTAGTTGTATTGATTTTTTATCATTATGTTTAAGCATGCCTCTTATTGATTGTTTTAGTCTATATCCTGATTTTAGCTCTTTAATTATAATTTGTGTCTGTTTGTGTCCTGGGTCATATATGAGTAATGAATGCAATTGTAGACGCTTAAAGCACAGAGCATGCTTTCCCAGTGTTCTTCAGACCATGAGGTTCCTTCAATTATGTTAATGTTTTACTGTTGCCAAATCTTAAAATAATTGTCTCCCATTTCAGAACATGGATTAATTGACTTTTCAATCAAGTAGGCTCATATAAGGTTCAGAATGAATATTTGAAAGCAATTCAAAGAAAATTCTAGTATTATTTTGCAACACTTCATTTGGAGAAATAACTTACAGTTGATTATGATAAGTAATGTAATAAAAAATGTTTTTTACATTTACTTGTACTGAATGGACATTAGTTTTAAGGAGTACACAAGTCCCGTTGTCAAACTGCCTTTTGTCACACTCTTTTGCAATCTATCACTCTGAAGATAGAATTACGACGACACCCTCATCAGAAGTAGATGGTAAATAACAGTCTGTTATTTGCTTCCACGTTAACTTCTGCTGGCTTTGAGTCTGTAACCAGAGACTATTTCAAAATACAGCACTCTCCTGAAACCCACTATCTGCCTGCTCTGGTTTCCTGAAGCAATGTCTTTCAACCTAACGCAACCCCACTGATATAACTGTTTATTTCTCTGAAGTTCAGTTCAACCCTCTTCCCTCCGTATGCCTGTTAACTAGAGAATTGATGTGCAAGTAATTGAATACCTGTGTGGATTGTTTAAATTATCCCACTCTCAAATTTGAGAGTTTCATTTTTATTCATAGTAGCTGTCTCCTATAAAGGAAATTCTGAGTTTCTGTGTCAGACACCGAAACCCAAATTTGCCATTTGTAACATCTGGAATCTTGGAACCAAAATCCCAGAAATATTCAAGAGACAAAAGAGATGCCTTATTTAGAGCTCTGCAGAACATAAGAGCTAAGTTATTGGCAAGAGATGGGCACTTTGCTGATACTTTAGGGGGGTTAGGACTTACATGGATAACAATTGGATGGGAGCAATGTTTAGATTTCCGAATCCGGTTTCCCTGGGACATATAAAATTAGTTTGCACAACTTGTAAACAATAAATTGTCCCAGGGATGGAACATCTCTCCTTGCTCTTCAATCGTGCTTTTACTAAAATTCATCTGGAAAAATAAACACTTAATAAATGACAGTAATTAGAATGTTCAAAAGATGTCTTCTTTGTTATTTTCTACTCTTTGATACCCATGAAGTAAAAATTATAAACAGCTTATTGTAATATAAATGCTAGTAAAGATTCATCCTAGAAAATCATTGTATTTAATTTTTTATTTTTTCCAAATGTCTAAATTCTCCTGTCTGTGAAATATTAGCCAGTTCTTAAAAACAATATTGATACTTATATTTGAAATCAAGGCTTAATTTTGCTCACAATTAATCTCAGAAATAAGTAGCTTATTTCTATGACCTTACTGAGGCCTGGTAACCTAAGCGGGATTATGTGTAACTGTGTGGAAGAAATGAAAAGGAGGCGGTAAGTAATTATTTAAGAAAAAGTAACATTAATGTTGGCAGACACTTCTTGTGTCTGTAACTGATTTCACACTGGGAAAATGAAGCAGAGTTTCGATTTTCCTGTTCATAATTTCACATTTACAGTTCCATTGTTTTTATCTTGCTTAACTGTTCTAGATGTCTGCCTTTACGAAGCAGGGGGGAAAGAAGGAAATGTTTTTGACAATAATGAAAACGACAAGATTGGTTCTCCTTCCTTGTACATTTTTAGAAATAGTTGAACATTCCCTAGCAGATTCATTCTAGATTATTCGTATGTCCGTATAGTTTATCAATTAGATATCCATTAATTTAATATCCTTTAAAAAATGTAAATTGGTAAGCAAAGGCAGTTAATTATTTGTGAAAATGTGTGCTGCTGGCTGTAGCCTGAATAGAAAGATGACGTTTTTCTTGCTATCAGTAAAATTGGGATAACAATGAAAATATTTTTCTGCTTCCAAAGTCATATACATAGACTGTAGCTTTTATTACAAATCAGTGACGCTGTTTCACCTACAAAATTTTAAACACCACTGGACAAAATGAGAGCTTTGTGTTGCCTGGAGGGTGAAAAAAGTCCATCTTTGCCAGCAACATCCCTTCCACTCTTAGGCTTGTCTTCGTGGCCTCCCTCCCCCTCCCTTTCAAGCCACCCCACCCCACCAGCTCTTTACACAGATTCCTCCCCTCTTCACACAGATCGCCAGTTATCTTACACTGTCTGGCTTTAGTCTCAGATTAAGACATTCTACTAAGCAGCAAGTCGTTCAGCTCAGTGCTAACTCTGCCAGGAATGTGTGTATTTCCTAAGAGCTGCCCAAAATGGAAATTAAATAGTTTGAAAGAATTAAATGATAATGGTAGCATTTCAGGCACCAGAAGGGCAGATTGGCATCAGTATAAGCACCTTTTCAGTCCTTCTTTGAGAACACCAGGAAAGTAGCTACGTGTTTTGCCCATGCGAAATTTGGATCGCTATACAAAAGCAAAAAGACAGTTTGTGAAGTATTACAGTATTGCAAGTTGATTCAGAGAGAATGTGTTGTGTTTATTTTTGAACTCTGTGCTCCTCCAAGGTTGCTGCTGTTCAGGGTAGTTCTCACTCACCCACTTTCTTTGAGTTCATGTGTCTGATAAGGAAGAGGTGAAACTGTAAAAATGTTTCCTATTACTCATCTCCAAAGCTGATATGAAACCTGTAGCATTCTTAAGAACCCCTGGTGTGCTGGATGCTGTTGTGAAAATAAGCATAATGTTTAATGTCTTGAGCTTTTACTGAAATTATATGAATATGCAAGACTCCCTTGGTGTACAAGAGACAGATAGAGCTTTAGAGGTCTGAAAATTTGCAGATATGGTGATGTTCACTGAGCTCAACTATTGGTCAATTTTGTCCGGTTCAGAGAGGGTTAAATTCTCTCTTGGACACTTGAAGCCTCTCTAATCTTATCCTGGAGAAGTGGTGCTCTCCCTTGGTTTACAGTTGAGGTTACCCGCGGGGCAGTGTTTGGACACGGACTGATGAAATTATGCTGCATTGTTAACATTGAATACCACTCAGTGGTGAGGACCGATGACGGCACTAGGGTCCTTTGACTCCATGGGTACAATATCTTGAAATAGATGCTTTCCCAAAATGTCCTGGACTCATAAAACATGTGAAGGATTCTATTTGGCTTTCATCATTTATTTAATTTGAAAGAAAGTTGTTTTAACGGATTTATCAGAGTTAAGAAATGTTTCTAGGGAATAGAAAATGGACAAGATAATTGATCTTTGTTGTCAAAGTCATGCATTGTAATTCACTCTCTAACTCCTTGAGGGAAAAGCTGCCAAAAGCTCTGAAAGTGATCTGCCTGTTTTTCTCACACTGACTTGTAGAGAGGCACTGGTATTTTCAAGACGACTAAATCCTGTTTACATCCTGTGGAAGGTTGACTAAGAATGATATCCATCTCTTTTTAAGAGAAGTTGAAATAAGGAAAATTATAGTTGGCAGTTAGCTGTGTGAAATTTAGTAATCTTTTTCAGATGACCCAGTCATAGGCATGTATTTACTTTTTAAAAAGTTTTAATAAAGCCCTCTGGGTTTACAGTTTTTAAAGTTCACACTGATACAAAGGTTTACCCACTTCAATTACACCTTTCATTGTGTGTGCATGCATGTGTGCATGCATGTGTGTGTGTGTTGTGCTTTTCAGGAGTGGCATGTGACTATGCTGTTTAATCGGGGCTATATTTAAAAACAAATTTTCTAGGGAGTGTTTCTCACATTAATTATGAGATAAGGCCTGAGTGAAGCAAGCTCTGTTGCAAAGGCCAAGTGTCATGCAGCAGGAAGTCCTGGCCATCCCTTCCAGCCCTGCCTCAGCCAGCCTGCCACCTCTCTGTCAGCGCATACTACTGCACAAAGGAAATGCCCTCACTCAGCTACAAGTGCCTCCTGCTCCTGCTCCCTGCGGGGCCTCAGGGCCCCAGGGCCCAGCACCAGCTCTGACTTCTCGTGGTTCCTGTGGATCTTGGCATCGTCCTTACAAATGGCTTTTGTTTGGGATCCTCTGGGAGCCACAGTGCCAGGACCGTCTACAGGAGCCAAATCAAGATTGCGTTTCTCAAAGTCCTACAGGTATTGCTCTTTTCCTTTTGTAGCTAGGAAGAACTGCTTAACTGCCTTAGGCCCCTTGCAAATAAGCCTTTGCCCTATGTTGACCTTCTAACTCCTAATGCTGGTTAATTTGACAATATATGAAATAAGAGCCAAGAAGATGATGCAGAAGTTGAAGAAAGTTGACCAACTTTAAAAGCTAATTCTGAGAGTTAAATGGCAAACTTAACAAAGCATTCATATTACTGCCACCTGAAAAACAGTGTATTAACTTGTCTAATGGCTTCATATAGTCAACCTAAATGTTAGGGAAGGGTAAACCAACAACAAGAACACTACAGTATTCTTTATAAGTGTTTCAGGGCACATCCACATGAAAAAATTGAAACTAATGCTGTTTCAGGTAGTAATTCAGTGTTAATCTTGCCCAGCAGAATTAGATGCCATGAAGTCCAACTAAATATTTTAATAATCTTTTGTTTCTGGAAATAATATTAAAAATCTTGACCTCATGACTTCACTAAACTGTCAATGACTGTTTTACAAGAAAATCAGCTTATTTTAACCAAGTAACTGGAAAAAAAAGAAGACACTTTAAAAAATCTTGGATTTCCTTCTCATTTGAGTATTCTAGGTATTAATAAAGAGAAGATTGATTATTCTTTATTAATGTTTATAAATAAAAGCTTTTTTTTGTTTTCTATTGATTAAAATTTATAGCACTGAAAGGTATCTATTTAATCAATAGTAAATAGAAGTGACATTGTTTGCAAAATTTTGGATATAAGGTCTCTCTTATTTAGACCAAATATAGCACATCTGGAAGCTGCCAGGCCTATGTAGAAATGTACATTAACACAGGATTAAAATGTGTTCTGATTTTCCTGCATAGAAAACATTCAAAATTTGAATTAAAATGATTTATAAGGATTATTTGCTTTAGACAGTAAAGAAGACAATGTCCTTGGAACTTTTAGGAAACTATAAAATCAGAGAAATCAAATTAAAAAATTTGTTATAACAATGCAAAAGCAAACTTTGGCAAGAGATAAATATAATTTTTATTTGAAAAGAAATTAACGATTTATTACGTTAGTTTGTAATAGCTATAAAATTTGGTTGAAAATTTGAAATTATATGCCTACTATGTGCTTTGCATTCTGTCGAATGTGATTCTCATGTTTATTATATGCTAAATCGTACATTCAGAACTTAACATCAATTATTTGCTAACTGTACTGTGCATATTTCCAATTTATGGTGGCTTCTAGGCTCTCTTCATCACTGAGATCTGATCACAAGCTCCTTAATATCATAAATCTCCAACTGCTGAATAAAGTAAAAGCAGTAGCTTGATGGACTAAAGAATTTGAGAAATCTCATGAAATGCAAAGTTTAAGCTCTACTCTCAGTTTGGCAAAGATATTTTTATCTGAGGTGTTATGGTATGATAAAAATTTAAAGCTATATGATAAATATATTTTTTCAAGGTTCCTTTGGTCAAGTTCTGGCCCTTTCCAAAATATAAGCATTAGCAGCTAAGGATAACTTTTTCATGTATTTGAATACCTCACATCTGTAATTTTAACAAACTTAATTTGTAACAAGTTTAAGAGGTAAGGATGACATCTCAAATATCCATCATGAGCCCATTTCCTTTGGAAGCTTCAGAGACTTAGTCCTTCCTTTATTTCCTCTTAATCTGAATATACAATTTCCCACATAATAGTTAATTTTTTATATGTGCTGTTTTCACTGTTTGGAGGTTCTAGTTTATCTTTCCAGTTGCACTGCAAACTCTTTGAGGTTTGAAGCTTCTTTATATACAGCAAGAATGCCAGTAATGTCTATTTGATAAAGTATCCTGTTACCCTTTCTTATTTGGCATCACCCCATAATGCTTTATTGGCATAACCAACTTGATATGATCATATCTATCATAAGTTGAATTGAGCGGAAGGGTTAGGGAGGTAGGAAGGCAGTTGGCCACTGGCTCTCGCATTTCTGCAGGTCCCTCACTCATCCAAAGGAGATTATGCATTCAGCCACAACAATCTACTGACAATAATGCAAAAAGGTACTTATTATATAACTTAAAATTTTTATCATACCATAATACCTCAGATGCACCATGAGTCACTATATATATATACAGACACATATACACACCACACACAGGCACATGCACGCACAGTTAAATGCTATAATTATCTTCTGAAGAACATAGTTTTATTGCATAGCATTCTTGGAATTAAAGGTGTTAAACTATTTGATGTAAACATGTAAAATATCTCATAATGTCACAGCCTTGTTTTTGCATTTCTTAATTTTAAAAAATATACAAAATCCTTAAATGGCGCAAGTAACTTAAGCTTATCTTGACCTTTAAGAGGCTTTGGATATGATTCCATTATTGAAGCAACTGAAAGAACTGGACATTAGACAACATTTCTTCACTGAATTTCTCCCATATTTTTTATGAGCAATATTTTATATCTTGTAAAATCTTCAAATGTGCCTATTGTAGTGTCATTTTTCTTTGACTCTCAAATGGATAATAATGCATGATACTGGGGGTACACTTAGCTTTAAGCTGGAATATTTTTATTTGGCATGGCTTTCGCTCCCTGGTAACATTCAGGCTAATGGAAAGCCAAGTCTGTAAGATATGAAATTCAATTAGTGTCTGATTTGTTAAAGTAATAGCAAATCATATACATTTAATGAGTGTTGACTCTTGAGAAATACAATCTTAAACAGTTTACAATGCTCAAAATAGATCTGAAAGTTTTTCAGCTGTGACAGTTTTTTGTCTTATGTGGTTGAAGTAGATTTTTATTAAAAAACAAAAATGATTAATATATAGCTTATTAATTTTGGTTTGAGGCAGAAAGAGGGATTGAAAGAGAAAAGAAGAGGGAGAGGGAAGGAAAGGCAGGAGAGGGGAGTGGAGCAAGGCCGTGGGGAGAGGAGTGAGGAACAGAAAAAGAGAGAAAGCAGAGGATTACGTAATAAGGAAGCTACTTTTTCTCTGTGAACCCAGAAGAGAGTGCCAACCGTGTTTTCAGTAATGGGATCAGTGTTAGCATTAGGGCACTGCTTACAAAGATGAGTACTATTTTTGAGGGCAAGGTGCTGATTTATCTGCCTAGGTTCTGGCACATGTGTGTAAAGATTCACCTAATTACATTAGAGCAACGCGCCCCCAAGTATTATAGAGAAGAAAGAGGAGAGTGATGTGCTCATGTTAAATTTGAGAAAACAATGTGTATAAGTTTATATTGGTTGTTTAAATATAGTACCTAAAAAATGATGGGGAAAAAACTACCTGGGAAGTAAGGAAAGAATCAAGGAGCAAATATTTAGCAAGCGTGTGGACCCTGACAACTCCAATAAGAGAACACTAGGGAATTTTGTATTTTAAAATACATTGTTGTTTAAAACTACAGTAGTGTTCAAGGAAACTTTAAATAGAAAATTACTCTTCTTGAGATGATTCTGTCTTCCAAAGAGAACAAATCACAAAACATTTCCTGCTTTCTGTCTTCTTAAAAAGGGATGTTAAAAGGAACATTTTACCTGATGAGTATAGGTTAGGTACTACGTAAATAGAAGAGAAAGTCAATCAGAGTACATTTGAATGTAGGGCAGAGATTATTCCATAGCATTCCACAGACCAGAAACAGGAAGTGTCTTCTAGTTTTCTTGCCCTTTATAGTAATAGGGGTCAGGGGATAGAAATTCTCAGAAAATCTCCAAATCTCATTTTTGCCAATTGTTTCAACATCTTTTCCTTCCCAGCATTTTAGCAGAGCTACCAAACAGGTGATTAATTAAGTACGTATGTGCATGCTTATACCTGATGTAGAAAGTCTAATGAGTAAATTTGTTTGATATGACATAGACTGAACAGTAGAAGGAAGGAGGAATGACAATCACATCAATAAACAAAGGTACAAATGATATCTGGGCTATGAAAAGATAAAGCAATATTTGCCCAAAGAAGAAGATCTAGATATCCCTAAATTATCCCCTGTATTCTTAGGAAGTAAAGATCAAATCTGCAACTTTGATCTGGAAATTGTATAGTAGCAGGTATGAGCAGGGATCATAGGAGAGTGTGGTCTCATAGCTACTCTTGGCCACTTCCAAAACCTAAGTGGTAGCACATCAGTGATTGCCCAACCAAACTGCACAATTCCCATGAGAAAAAGCTGTCTGGAACCCACATCTTAGAAAGGGAGTGAGCGCCACCTGAATCAATACACTAGGACATAACTTTCTGCATACCCCAAGAATACCTCCTGTTGCATAGCACTTTTTAGTTTTCAAAGCTTTTCAGATGTAACAGATCTGACAACTGTTGTTTTTAGTGTGCCACAGCTCATCTCACTTAATGCTTTAGGGTAAGTGAAAAGGATGGATGTAATTATTATCAAATAGGAGAAGAACAATTGGAGGTTCAGGGACTAGAGACCACACACATATGTGGTTAGAAAGTCCAAAGTAGGCCCGCGGGGCCGGGTGCGATGGCGGCGGTGGCTGCACGGCAGCTGGGGCTGCGGGCGGCGGGGCTGGGACGGGCCCCTGCCAGCGCCGCTTGGAGGAGCGTCCTCGGGGTCTCCCCGTGCCCAGATGTGGCAGTTCTGCAGCAGAAGCATCTGCCACAAAAGCGCAAGATGACTCCTTTCTTCAGTGGGTCCTGCTCCTCATCCCTGTGACTGCCTTTGGCTTGGGCACATGGCAGGTCCAACGTCGGAAGTGGAAGCTGAACCTGATTGCAGAGTTGGAGTCTAGAGTTCTGGCTGAGCCTGTCCCTCTACCAGCAGACCCAATGGAACTGAAAAATATGGAGTATAGACCAATGAAAGTCAAGGGGTGCTTTGACCACTCCAAGGAGCTGTATATGATGCCCCGGACCATGGTGGACCCTGCCCGGGAGGCCTGGGAGGCTGGCCGCATCTCCTCCTCAACTCAGAGTGGGGCCTATGTGGTCACTCCCTTCCACTGCACCGACCTGGGAGAGCACAGTCCCTGGAGGACCCATTGGAGGGCAAACCAGAGTTACTCTGAGGAACGAGCATCTGCAGTACATCGTCACCTGGTGTGGACTCTCTGCAGCTACATCATATCTGTGGTTTAAGATATTCCTACGTGGGACACCTGGTGTGTAACAGATCAGCTGCTAAAGCCCTGTCCCTGAATAATGAAGTAAAAAGACTGCCTTTATGCTGGATCATGTGGTATAAAGTTCTGGCCTTCTACCTTAAAAAAAAGAAAGTCCAAAGTAAAAACAATAGAGCTAGTCTGTATCGGACACTTACTATGCACCAGGAAGCATTCCCAATCCCATACATGCATTAGCTCATGCATGTCATCCTCCAAAACAGCCTTGGGAAGTGGATCTAGCATTACCTTTATCTTACAAATGAGGAAACCAGGCAGAGCAAGTTTAAGAAACCTGCACTGGTATGAATTCTGGAAGTCTGTGTTAGAACCGGGACTGCTGGTCACTCTCCCACCTCCAGCTTCCTGACCAGATCCTATTAGCACACAAGGAAAAAATTCCGTAATGACAGGTATTATTCTAACAGATGTACTATCTTCTCTACTTAGCTCTGAATCTTTCTCTGAAGACAGAACACCATGTGATTTGTTATAGAATAGGGCTTAGTAATCAGTTAAAATATAAACTTATTAAATAATATCTAAACTGTCCTCTAACCTAATTGATGTTGGTTTAAAAGAATGCTAAGCAAAAGCATCAAAATAAAAATATTTTTATGTTAAAAAAAAGAAAAAGGAAAATGAATCAGTGATTTTATATTGTCTGCTTCTGCCCCCTCCTGGGTTTTGCTTCATGGGCTTCCATCTGGCTCATTTCATCTGGCCAAAAACATTGGTCATGTGGTTGTATTTTACTGCCAAAATATTACTCCTTGGCCAGCTGTTCAGAGGAGCCAGAAGATTCTCTGAGCTAGAGAGGTCAACTTCATCCTGTGTCATGTCTATTTATTCTACTGGCATAGTCTTGACTATTAAACTAGGCTTCTTAATGATATTTCAAATTGTGAGTAATGTTGGCTAAATTGACAATGAAAAAATAATTAGTGTATAGGCAACATTTATACCTAAGAATAACAATACTGCTAACAACCATTGCATATTGTCGGAAGAGGTAGCATGGTGTAGGAGGAGAACTTTGGCTCTACAGCCAAACAGACCAAGCTCCAGTGCCAACTCTGCTGCTTTCTTGATTGGGCAGTTTTTCCTAACGTCTCTGAGCCATTTCCATGTACATAAATAGAAAATAAAAATATCTACTTCATAAGGCCATTGTGCAGATTAGATGAAAGCGTGTACATGAGTGCAGGACTACCTACCACCCCTTTCATAGCATTTCCAAGTCTTCACTAACATTTCACAAATTTTATAAAGCTTCTTTTGTGAAATACATTTTCAGATAAACTGTCATCATTGGTACCTCTGTTGGTCACAGAATAGTACAGTAGAGCTGCGTTATAAATGGTTACCTTATAAGCAACTTGCACATACAACCCAGACTCACCTTAGAAAGGTAGTGTGCAGGAATGATTGACTGTTGGCTAGCTCTACAGTCACACTGCTGCTGAGGTTCACATTTTCACATTATCGCTTGTAGCTATGAGACTTTGGAAAAGTTACTTCATGTGCCTCAGTTTCCTTATTTGTAAAATGGGGTGTTGTGAGGATTAGGTGTGTTAGCCATGTAAAGTGCCTGGCACATAGACAACACTAAAATAAATTTCAGCTATTATTAATAATAGAATGTAAGCTCCACATGGCAGCAATTTTTTTGTCCTTTTTTCCACCTTTGTATAGCCAATGCCTGGAAGAGTGTCTGGTACATAGTAGGTGCTTGGCGTATATGTATTAAATGAATGAACCTATTAGCAAATGTGTTCCAATTCATGGCAAGTGTAAGGACACTGTGCTTCCTTTTGCCACATTCATGGGAACAGGGGGTTAGAGATGAAGGAACCTGATGGTTCATTTGTTCAAACTCATTTGTCTTACATTGAAGAGCTTGAAGATCCTGAAAGGCCCCAGGGTCATGCAGCTTGATAGTGGCCTGGCCAGAGCTAGAACCCTAGCTCTGTGTGCTTCTGTGAAAATCTTTGTTCCATTGTCCCACCGCCGACTTCAGTACATATGCCATCTAATTCAATGCCTTCAGTAAGGCAGCAAAAAGAATGAATGATTTGGAGCACACTTCTTGCAGACAGGAGAGAGTATGAGTCATAATTGGGCAATGACCATGGAAGGACAGGTTTCTGAATAATAGACTTATCCAAGTAAAATTATGCTCGGACATTTTACTTACAAGTCTAAAAGTCACTTGCTACAACAGCTACAATAGGATTCTTGTAGGGAAGTACCACTTTGTAAACAACAGTTTTGTAGAATGCGTTATATGCATTTTTTTCAAAATTGAAGGAAAGCTCCATCTCTAACATTCAAAAGAATCTGTTCAATTATCAATGTACACTAGAAACAGGTAGAGACGGGAAATACAGTTTGAGTGTTTTCTGTCTTACCATGACAGCGCATGGAACAACCACAGGCAGAAAGATTACAAACTCTGCAATAAATATAAAGGTATTGATTTTATAAGGTAGCCTACAGGCTATGGACCAGCACAGAGCTCTGTCAAATGTGCTGCCAGGAGATGTACAAAAAAATCAAGGTGACTAAAGAAGAAGAGACACTCCCCACTGCCAAGGGTTTAGAATCATGCTGTGGGTATTTCTGATCATCAGTGTGAGAATGGTTTTCACTGTTGTTAAAACCATACCATTTCTGAATGTGTAATAGGTATGAATGTTTATGCTTAAATAGTAGTTTGTAAAATTTATACTGTTTATTTTCATAATGTTGATTTTATGATTTTCAACGAGTGCATTTTTGTCTTTAAGTCATGAAGTGGTTGAGCCCCCATCAAGTGATTTTAAGAGACGGTACCTTGACTGAGCAGTTGAATCAAGGCCTGTCTGATCTGGGCAGAGCAAATAAGGAATACTTCTCATGAAGGAGGAAGCATTCAATTCCATACACTTTACCTTGGTACTCCTTGTTCTGGAGCCCTCAGCATCTATCATGTTCTTTGCCACAGTCATATACCCACCTTCTATCTTGGCTCTCCCTCCTCCTAACTTCCATTACTTTTTCTACCTTTGAACTATAATTGACAAGCCTTTTTGACTTTGACAAGGGGCTGAAGAGAGGTGTCTGATTTTCCATAAGGCTGGGTTATATAAGTGCACAGAGTTGAATCAGAGCAAAAGAAAATTCCATTGGCAAAGGAAGAGTACTATATGGTACTTTAAAACTTGTCCGATTGTATTATTTTATTTATTTATTTTAGAGGCAGGATCTCGCTCTGTCATCTAGGCTGGAGTATGGTGGCATCATTATCACTCATTGCAGCCTCAAACTCCTAGGCTCAAGGGATTCTCCAGTCACAGCCTGCTGGGTAGCTAGGACTACAGGCGCACCCTACCATTCCTGGCTTAAAAACAAATTTTTTTTTTAGGGTCTGTTTTGCCCAGGTTTGTCTCAAACTCTTGGCCTCAAGTTATCCTCCCACCTCAGCCTCCTAAATGCTGGGATTACAGGCATGAGCCATGTTACACGGCTCAAATTATATAATTCATTAGCTGGTAATAGTGTAAATTTGGAAGAAAAAAACTAAAATGATAAAGAGGAAAGATGGATTTGTGAATAGAGTAAATATATATTACTGTAATTATGTTAAGCCAATCAAATGCAAAAGACAGTTCAAAGATAACAAGTATGTAAGTCACATTCCAAAAAAAAAAAAAAAAAAAAAAGAAAAGAAAAGGAAAGCTTTGAAGTGAAACTTTGAAAAGATAAGTTTTGTGGTGAGCTAAAGAAATAAACTCTATAAAAACAAAACCCTAAAATTATTATAACAATGAATTAAACATTCAAATATGAACAGAACAGAATGTAAAGGATCATTCAGGCGGTAAATGTTCACAACCAGCTCTCCATGGGGGAGGGGGGAGGGCACTATTTGTAGTAACTGCTTATTTCTGTGCAAAAAAATTCTCTCACCCGCCCGTTTCAAACTGCAGAGGTCACTAAATGTGGAGTTGGCAAGAGATACATAGTACTATATACGGTGTTTCTATCATATAGATACAATAGACATAAATTGCCCCCAAAACGTAATAATAGTAAAATGTAACCAAATCATTCAGAGGTTATGAGTTTTGAATACTTATTTCCATTGTTTTTAATGTAATTTAATTATAATTAACAATTTTTATGTAATTTAATTTTTAATAACTGTTGGGTATTAACAACTGACTTATAAATACTCCTAAAAATGTAACAGGATGTAGTGAGGGACAAAATGGATGTGGTCTCTGCTTTCATCAAGTTTACATTCTGGTAGAGGAAGAGAGAAAATTAGTTAACAATAAATAAAATAAATAGAGACTGAGATGAGAAGTTCTGCTTGGGGAAGCCAGGGAAGCCTTTTTAAAGAAATTGATAATTTATTTGCATATAAGTTCAAACATCTGTGCGTTCCATACATCTGTGAGTACATTTGTAGTTCTAGCCATGAAACTCAGAATTGCACAACGTCAGTGGAACCATATAAATATTGACCTCATTACTGACTTGTTTTCAGTCTCTAGTCTCTTGAGTGAATTTGCCTTTGCTTCTCTGTTACTATAAAAATACAATGAGGGAAAGTAAAACAAGGAAGAAGATGAAAAGATGTAGGGGAAGGAGGAGCAGTTTACAATATACTTTCTATTACATTGTTTCACACTATCTCAAAAATTTTTATACATAGAAAATACTAAAGCAAAGAAAATTGGAAGTTAAAAATCAATAGCAGTAGTAATAGCCCTATAGTAGGAACCTTGTTTTGTTTGAAATATCTGTCCGTGACTGCCTACAAAACATAACCATCATAAGCTAAGAGTAATTATGAGATTACTTTTTTATTTTCAAAGAAATAATACAAATTTTAAATCTTGAATTAAAAGGAAAGCTAGCCGGATGAAACTTTTCCAACACACAAAGTTTTAGGATAGTGCCCATAAATATTATGCTTCTAATGCTTGTCACTTGATCCGGTTTTGGCAATTAACTTGCCTTTAATTGATTTGTGGATTACCCACTGGAAGTTGCTATGGATAAAGGAATGTAGTGGCAGAGTTTGTTTATATAGGGTAACAAAATAGACTGGTTGGGAGGAGGGGTTTAACTGCAAAATATCCTTGATTTTCAGGAATTTTTCTTTTCACATAATGGCAGTGTTTAGACAAAGAATGGAAAATTAGATGAATCTGATTAATGTTCTCATCCAAACGGAAGATTTATGTCCTGTTTAAGAATCACATTAATTTGATGACGTAAGTACATTCTCTAGTGAAAGAGTGGCCACTTGAGTAGAGGAAAAAAACAAGCAAAAAAACTCCTTCTGCCATCTTCAGGTTGTACCTGATGAAAAGCTTTTATTTGTGGGTTCTATGAAGTATCACTGCCCTGATCTCAGATGAACTAAAAGATGAAAACATTTCATTACTCAAATAATTGTTTATCTCACATCTTAACTGGTTCTAGAAAAGGACTATATATTTTCCATCCTAACTTTCCTCAGTTTCTTTTTATAAAGTTCAAAATGCCTTGAGTAGAGGTGTTCAGGAGGTTCTCAGTGGCACTGCCACTCACTGGTGGGGACGTTTTTGTTCTCTGTCCTCCCATGTAGAAGATGACAAGGATGGCTTTGTACAACTTCTGTTGTATGCGCTGCTTTTCAACCCCTTGGATGAGATACTCAGGGACAAGGAACATCAGGTTTTTTCCTGAAAGCAAATCCATATAAACTGAAACAACATAAACCTTAGGGAGGTCTGACACACCAAAATGCCAAGAAAGGAAAGAAGAAATTATTATCAGTGGGGGAAACAAATTATCCTGTATTTTGGAGTGAATTTAAAAGGCTTGTTGTTTGTTTTAACACTATACGACTTAAAAAAAAAAAAAAAAAAAAAAAAAAAAAAAAAAAAAAAGTCTTGCAGTCTTGCCTTCCTCATGTTGGATGGAATGGAAAGGATTCTCTTTCTTTGCTGTTTATATATAACCCTTAGCACTCTACAAGGATCTAATTGGTATAAAATAATGGGTGTGAATGTGCCACTAAGTGAGAAAAAATACTTAGCCATTTTTACTCATATAACCAACATCTAGATCAAAATCAAACCCCTTTATGCTTCTTTCCAGTCACTATGCACCCAAAGATAACCACTAACTGACTTCCAATAGCATAGATTTGACTACTTTTAAATTTTATATGAATGAAATTGTACAATGTAAACTCTTATTTCAGTCAATATTGTGTTTATGGGATTCATTCATATTGTTTTGTGCATTCTTCATTCTCATTGTGTTAATATTGCACCAAGTGGATATGCTACAATTTACTTACTCATTCTATTGTTGATGGATAGTCATGTATTCCAGTTTTAGGCCATTATGAATTAGAGCTGTAATGAACATTACTGGATATATCACTTGGTAAACAAATGTACATGTAGTGTTGCAGGGTTTTGTGCATACATGTGGGTTTGGGTATATCCCAAGGGGTAGGATTTCTGGGTCGAAGGTTGTGCCTTTAACTTTAGATATTGCCAAATGTGTTTCCAAACTGCTTGCCATATTTATGTCGCCACCAAAGTGATGTTTCAGTTCTCTACATTTTTACCAAAGTATAGGTCATCCATTTTCAATGATGGCATCTTAATAAATGTTTGCCTAGTAATAACGATGTCATCATGCCTTTTATGTATGCGGGTTGGGTCTTTTAATCTTTAGGACCTGTTTTTCCAGGAATAGTGTGGGTAACAGTGAGCCATTCACACTCTGTCTGTTTCTCCTCTTGATGAATACTATGTAACTGTGAAATAAGTGACTAAAATAAGAAACAATCTGATATGCAGAAATAGAGTTTTCCCTGTTTGGTCCATATGCAGCTTAAATATGTGATGTTATTCTACATTTTATCCAGATTCATTTTTCAAACGAATAGTAATCATTGTTAGCAAAAACCAATAAATAATCTTTTATTCTGTTTGAAAATTTCCATCTCCTACTTTGAGTTCTTGCTGTATATCCTGTGCTCACTTTAAATCAGGTTTTCCTTCCCATATATTATTTCTTGGAAAATATGTTTTGGACTTTTCCTAAACCACCTTAACCTGTTGAAAAAACATTAGTAAATGCATAGCCAATGTAAGGCATGCTAAAATAAATGTGTATTGCTTTTTCAAGATTTTATTTACCCGTGCATTTAAAGAAGTTTTTTTTTCGTTCATTTTCTTTCTTTTTTGTCATTATAGTCATTATGTCTTTTTAATGTTAAGATTCTGGCGATGTATGTATTCCTAATTTTTTATGTCACCTCCTCCGAAGCTTAACTGATTGATGATATCAATCCGGCTTCTGGCATGTCAAGTTAGTTGACCTGGTTCAGTTTGTACCATGTCAAAATGTGATCATTCATTATTAGATGATGTCCAGAAAAAACAGTGTGTGCAATAACTGTGGGTCCCATTTCTTAAAGCTTTCAAAATCCAATCTTAAGGCTCTCTGCTTTGTGGCATATTAGGGAACATAAGTAAACATTAGGGCAATATCAAATGTATTCTAAGGGTTTCATGATGTAAAACATCACTTTATTACCAGACAGATACTTCACATCATGAAATTCGAGAAAGTATACGAGGTGGGACACAGTGGTTTACCATGTAATCCTAGCACTTCGGGAGACTGAGGTGGGAGGATCGCCTGAGTCCAAGAGTTTGAGACCAGCCTGTGCTACAGAGTGAGACCCCCATTTCTACAAAATTTAAACAATTAGTAGGGTATGTTGGTACCTTCCTGTAGTCTCAGCTACTCTGGAGGCTGAGGGAGGATTGCTTGAGCCTGGGAGGTCAAGGCTGCAGTGAATGTGATCACAGGGCTGCACTCCAACCTGGGCAACACAGTGAGACCCCAGCTCTGAAAAAAAGAAAAAGTATGTAATTTTTACATAAGAGTCACTTGATTCAGAAACTGGGAAAGGTGTTAAGGATGTATTATATTGTCTTTCAAAGTTTAGTATCTATCTTAGTGGCCTCTGAAAGTTGTTATTATATTTGAGTTTTGCCTTTAGATTTTTTCAGAAATAAGGATTTATAAAAAATATAATCCTCAAACCGAGTGTTCTTCAGTACCCAAATAATTTCTCACTAAATGGAATTATATAGTAATTCCTGCTAAATGTCATGTTAATTCTCTCAGATTACTAAAATGTTTTTTTTTCAATACATACCAAATAGCAGCTTAGAACAGCTAACTTTTTTGTCAGTGATAAATGTGACATGGTAAATTAAAATCCAGAGCATTTATTTTAACCAGTATTTTTAACCTATCAAATATTTTAGCAAAACTACTAAAGAAAAACAGAATGGTTCATCTTTCCTTCAACTGCCTATTGTTCTGTCCACTGCAAGGCACAATAGGAAGATACGAAAGCAAAAGGGGTACCCCTTTATAAAATCATCAGATCTTGTGAGACTTATTTACTATCATGAGAACAGTACGGGGGACACCACCCCCATGATTAACTTCTCTCCCAGCGGGTCCCTCCCACAACATGAGGAACTGGGGGAGCTACAGTTCAAGATGAGATTTGGATGAGGACACAGCCAAACCATATCACTAATGCACTAACAAAAGACCTACACACAAATCATTTTTATAAGTGTTCAACATAAATATCTATAGTTTTTGATTGTTTATCTTAAGGAGACAGTATTGAGAGGAAAGATGGGCACAAAAGAAACAGAATGTAAGCTATTTTTTTTCCCCGAGAAACTCCTAATGAACACCTGCTTTTGCATTAAAAGGTTAACGACTCTTAGTTTTTCAAAAATGATTTAAACCACTGAATAAGTGCTCTGAGGCAACTAAGTAAGAATTTTATTTTATTTTATTTTTTTTATTTAGAGACAGAGTCTCACTCTGTTGCAATGGCACATCCTCAGCTCAAGGCAACCTTTGCCTCCCAGGTTCAAGCGGTTCTCCCACCTCAGCCTCGCGAGTAGCTGGGATTACAGGCACCCACCATCATGCCTGGCTAATTTTTGTATTTTTAGTAGAGATGGGGTTTCCCTATGTTGGCCAGACTGGTCTTGAACTCCTGTCCTCAGGTGATCAGCCCACCTCACCCTCCCTAAGTGCTAGAATTACAGGCGTGAGCCACTGTGCCGGCCTTAAAGTAAGAATTTAAAAGACTGAATCTGAAACCTGGCGCCATCCACCAAGATTACTTTCATTCTCAGAGAAGAATTTGTTATACTTCTAAGAAAGCTGACTATCATCCTATCCCACCTGAGATATCATGAAGCTTGTTCTAAAAATGGAATCATTCAGTGATCATGGGCTGCTTTTCAAGCATTTTTCACTCACCCTTTACCATTATGATGGTAAACTTTGGGGAAAGGGGAAGGCATGAGCCAATACATCTTTTAGTATTTCTTGGTTGTACTAAGAACAACTGAGGAACTGCTAAGAAATGACTAAATAGATAAAAGTATTTTTATTATAACCCTTGTGAAAAACCTCTTCCCCCATAAAACATTTAGTATCTTGTATGAAGGCATAATGTATTTTTAAACATTCAAATCCAATTCCAGATTTCATTTGTGTACTGTGTACTGTGTAATCCACCATGCAAAATGTAATTTCTTGCTTTTAATATAAATTTTCATTATTATCATAAATGAAGTCTCAGGCCACAACATTTTGTTAGGTTGCATTCAAATGGTAATCATAATATGACCTATACCAGTTTTTGCATGGAAGGGCAGCAGCCAGCTGAACTAGATTTCCACTTTTCTCTTGGCTCATTGAACAACAATGGACAAGTTACCTTAACTTCATGGGTCCTCAACCTTCTCATTTGAAATTGAGTGTACGGACTGTATAATTACTCTTTCCTTTTAAGTTTACAGAAATAACATTATAGAGGTATAAGAAAACTATAAATGATCCAAGACATGTGCCTAAATATTTCTTCATACATCAAGTATGCATTCATGAAATCAACACCAAGCTCAGGAAATATCAAAGAATAGCTCAATGTCCCTGTGAACTTATATCCAATTCAGTAATTCATCCAACAAATGTATATTGAATCTGCTAGACTTATGAAGCCTTAAACTTTATGCTGTACGTTCTGATAGATGTTGTTTAAACCAGGGGTTGGTCAACTTTCAAAAGCAACCCTTTTGCTAACATTGTTCTTCTGGCTGAAAGCTAGTAAGTATAAGCAAGAGGAGAGATGTGTGTATGATCTCATTTCTATTTGGAATCTAAAAAGGTCAAACTCATAGAAGCAGATAATAGAAGAGGGTTACCAGGGGGTGATGGGAACAGGAGGGACTGGGGAAATGGTGGTCAGAGGATATAAAGTTTCAGTTAGACAAGAGGAATAAGTTCAAGAGATCTGTTGTACAACATGGTGACTATCATTAAGAACAATGTATTGTAAACCAAATATCATATGTGATTACTTATAAGTGGGACCTAAATAATGAGACCACATGGATACATAGAGGGAGGAACAACAGACATAGGAGGCTACCAGAGAGTGGAAGGCAGGAGAAGGGACAGAACCAGGAAAAATAACTAATGGATACTAGGCTTAATACCCCCATGACACAAGTTTACCTATGTAGCAAACCTGCACATATACCCCTAAACTTTAAATAAATAATAACAAAGAAAACCAAAAAGAAAAAGAAAAGAAAATTTCTAAGAGAGTAGATTTTAAATGTTCTCACCACAAAAAACTGTGTGAGTTAATGCATATGTTAATTAGCCTGATTTAGCTCTTCTATAATGTGTACATATTTCAGAACATCGTCTTGCGCACTATAAAT